TAAAGTCCCTTAAGCAAAAGCCCTAATGCCCCTGGCCCTTAAGTCCCAAAATCTAGCCTCAACCATTAAAAATCCCCAGGCCCCCAAGGCTTTTTAAATAATGCAGTTTACCCTAAACCTTCTAAATAAAGGCCTCAGAGCATTGTAAACTAAAACTCCTGAACCTTAGCTCAAACATTTTGTCCCCTGAATGTTAAGCCACAACCTGTTACATTCTAAACTTGTTCCATGACCCTTTATACCCTGTCTTTCAACCCTCTAAACCCCCAATTGTATCCCCTAAATCAATAATGTCCAACATTAGAGTTCGCTATGATTAACCCGTGAAGGTGAAATGCATGAGAGGATAGGTATGCATGGAGGGATGGTATAAAGTGTGTATTACTTTCTACAATAAAGATTTGAGATTTGGACGAAGATCTGTGGAGTGAGACCGTCTTTGCTTTCTCAATTATAAGTATGAGTTATTATTGTGTGGATGCCCACATCCCGTCTGTCATTTCCTCATTCTGCTCACTAATGGAGGTTATTGGATATTTGATCAATATCTTTCGGCTGTCAGTGTGGATCAAGCATGTGGAAGTGACCTAGATATTAAGTAACTAGTAAAAAAAAGTTGGGGGAAAAGCTAACCTCTTTTTTACAAGCACTACATCACAACTACCAGATTGTCCCAATCTGTGCATTGTGGGGCATTGCAATGCAGATGGATTTGAGTGCCATTCAAAATGAATGACACTACAATGCACTGTACCGTTTGTGCGTTGTGGTCTGCTGCCTTGAAAAAAAGGGTGCGGGTTCATCTTTTTCTAGACACTTTAAAGCTGGTCATGCACTGCTATATTTTTTTTCTTTCAAGGAGGATTAAATGGATGAACTATGTATATAATTCTTAATGTAAATAAATGTTAATGAAAATATATATCTGACTGGACATTCTGTAATTGAATGTGAGTTGGGATGACAAGTGAAGGTTCTATGAAGTGTCTGGAGTCTACTGATAGAGAGGGCTGGAGAGACAGGAGACCGTGACTCTCCGAAGGAAGTTAGAACATTGACTCTTCCTGCTTCTGGCCTGGTCTAGAGGAAGAGTGAAGAACTCTATTTTGGAGGCCATGAGTAAATCTAAGTCTCTGTAAGTGTACAGGTGTACCCTGTAAAACATCCTATGGACTGTGCA